CCTGGAGTTCCCCACAGCCTCTCTGTACCTGTCTTGGGATATGATAGTTACTTGTTCATGGGACTTGTGCAATTGCTATCTATACTCTAAGATGATGCAGTTAAGTGGTGGTTCTTTCCTCAGAATCTAAATTCACCTGTTTTCCTCATTAGTAGCCTATGTGAGGTATGCCTTTGTATCAAAACAATGACTAATACTTAGGTTTTCTTAGTAAGGTTCATTGAATTTCTTGCATCTAATTAATTTTTTCATAAAACTTTGAAAGTATGTTTTAGAGACAGGGTCTCTCTGTGTATTTCTGGCTGTCCTGGAACTCACTCTGTAGACCAGGCTGGCCTCAAACTCACAGAGATATGTTTGCCTCTGCCTCCCGAGTGCTGGGATTAAAGGTGAGCACCACCCCTGCCGCCACCAGGCAAAAGTATTCAATCTTGTTTTTTTTTCCAAATACTTATTCTGCCCATGTAATGTAGCTATTTCATCCCAATAGAAACACTCCCTTCTAGAGGACTAAGATAGCTTACAAGGCACAGGAAGTTCACAAAATTTAGAAAGCTCAGGAAGCTCTTAAAATGAGATTTACAAGGCCCCTTCCCAAGATTATACAAGCAGTAAGCAACTTATTTCCCCTCTGAAAGATTTATTTTGTTACTTTTATTTTATGTGTATGTGTGTATCTTGAGTGTATGTATGGGTACCATGTGCATGAAGGTGCCATTGAGGATCCGAAGTGTGCATTGAGTCCCCTGGTACTGAAGTTACAGGTGGTTGTGAGCTTCCTGATGTGGGTGCTGGGAACTTAACCCAGTTTCTCTATAGAGTTACACACTGACATCTTTCTAGTCTCAGCAGCAAACAGTATTGAAAGAGACACTCCTTGGTAGGCTAACCAGCTTGAAAGTTGTTCAGGGAGCTCTGGAGTTGGAGCTTTCATGAGCTGAGAAATCATTGCCATGCTAAACAAAAAACAAAGTAGCTGAAAATGAAGCACTCCTCCAAATCCATCAGGTTGGAATGGGACAAGAACACACAGGAACCCAACGAACCTGTGAGACACCCAGGGCCATTGAAGACCTGCTTCATGAAAATTGCACAATTGCAGATGCTTGGAGTGGAAAGGCCAGACTATCTAAACTCGCAGATTTGCATGCTTTTAGGAACTTTCTCTTCATAAACCTAGTAGTGCTCACACAAAGAGTAAGTTCATGCTTCTGGCAGGGAAAGAGATCCTGGGCATTTAAAATGTATTCATACCATTTTATTCTTAACAAGTCCTATCCTCAAGAGAAGCTACTGAGGCAGGGTCTGCTCTGCTGGGCTTTACTGGAGACTTCCTGGCAGGGGTGGGTGGGTAGGGAAAGGGAGTGCCCAGCTTTAGTCCCCTGTGGCCATCCTGTTTTACCTTTGGGGAGTCAGAATCTGAGAAACACAGGCTAGAGACACAGGTTCCCCAAGACAGTGCACTATAGAATATGGCCTCTCCCTGACACTTTACTACCTTACTGTATTACAGGTGACTGTTATAGTGATTCCTTTCCCTTGGTACATCATGTTCAACTCTTAACAAGTCATTTTCAAGGCATACTAAAATATGAGGCAATGTGGGTACCACAAGCAAAGTCAGATAGGGCAGGAAGGTTGGATTTATCAGACTAGGAATTTTAAATAATTGATTAAAATTCTAAAATATGCCAGGTAGTGGTGCTGCACACCTTTCATCCCAGCACTCCTGAGGCAGAGGCAGAGGCAGAGGCAGGTGGATCTTTGAGTTTGAGGCCAGCCTGGTCTGCAGAGTGAGTTCTAGGACAGCCAGGGATATACAGATAACTCCTGCCTCAAAAAACTAAAACAAATAAATAAATAAATAGGCAAGTGAATAAATAAAATGCTAAAAACACTAGACTGGGAAGATAGCTCAGTCAGTAAAGTCTTGAGTTCAGTACTCCAGAATTCACATTAAAAGACCGGGTGTTAATCCAGACCTGGGGAAGCAGAGAAGCATGGTGGACATACCTCAGGAATTATTGACATCTGAGGTTGTTCTCTAGCCTCTATGTGCATCTTCACAGAAAAGAACACACATACACACACACACACACACACACACTTCTAAAGTGCTACCAGAAAAAGTAGATGATACAGAAGAACAAGACCACAGCTGGCACAAGGGGGGGGGGGCAGAAAATGAAATCTCTACTTGGGATGTTTATACTCTATTGACCTTTGGGTATTTTATTTATAAAACGGTAAAGGGGAAGACAGAGACTGGGGATACTTACCAACTTCCCCACAGAGTCTTTCCACAGTGAAAAATTTCAGCCATTTTCTTTTAAAAATATTTCATGTATTTTTGAGATTATAATTGCATAATTTCCCCTTCCATTTTCTTCCTCCAAATCTCACAAACCACTCCTTGCTCTCTTTCAAATTCATGGCTTCTTTTTGTATTGTTGATATTTATATATCTCCTGTTCAGTCTGTATAATGTTACTTATATATATATATATATATATATATATATATATATATATATGTTGGCAGGGCTGGGCGTTTGGTATTGGATAGCTAATTGGGGTGCTCTTCCCTACTCTCAGCATTCCTTAGTGGTCAGTAGTTCTTGACCCCTTTGTTGATCACTCCTCCCTCTCTGCAACAGGATTCCAGGAGATCAGCTCAGTGTTTAGCTGTGGATGTCTGCTTCTGTTGCCATCAGCTACTAGATGAGGGCTCCATGATGGTGGATAAGTTAGTTATTGATCTCAGTATCAGGGAAGGACATTTAAGATTGTCTCTCCACTGTTGCTCAGATTGTTAGTTGGGGTCAGTCTTGTAGGTCTCTGGACATTTATTTAGAGTCAGTTTTCTCTTCAAACCTGTAATGGCTCCCTCTATTATGGTATCTATTTTCTTGTTCTCATCTATTCGTTCCCTGGCTCAATCTTCCTGGTTCCTGTCTCCTCCCCTTCTCTTTCTTCTAGTTCCCTCTCCACTCACTGTCTCCACTCCCCCTCCCCCTCCCAATATGCTCAGGATATCTTGTCCCTTTCCCCTTCTGGAAAAACAAGTATTCTTAACTACTGAGGCACCTCTCCAGGTACAACTGTGCTACTTTTACTGGGCTGTCATAATTGATGTCCAGTCTGTTTATGAGAACCAGATATACCTTCAAGACATGTCTGTCCAGAGCTTTCCGGCAGCCCAATCAGTACTTGTGTTCTTCCCAGAGATATGCTGGGGGACATACATGACTTCACACCTAGGCCACTCAGAATGACATTTTCAGCTTGTGGCAAGAAATTCTCAAGGGGTGCCTTTCTTTTTCTTTTCTTTTCCTTTTTTTTCATTTCACTTTGACCCAAATTCTAATTTGTTTCTGTAGGGGTATTTTTCAAGGTCATCTATTATATTTGTTTGCTGTTGTTACAAACTACCATGAATTTAATGACTTAGAGCAACATTTTTCCTGGTGTGGTGGTAGTACTTGCTTGCAATTCTGGTACTTGGGAGGTGGAAGCAGGAGGATCAGGAATTCAAAGATATTTTCAGCATTGCAGTGAATTCAGTTGATTTGAAGTCAGCCTGCTACATGTGATCCTACCAGAAAGAAAGGGGGGTGATTGTAGTTTTAAACAGCAACAGGTATGGGAGGGCTGCATTCCTGTGGAGGCTCCTGGCTCCTAGTGCTAGGCTATGCCCCAGGCAGTTTTAAACTGGAAGGTCCTCATTGTTTTTTGTTTTTTTTCCCTGAGCTTTTCTCTGATTTTTTTCACCAGCTCAGCCATTTGGTCATAGGGGTTTTTGTTTGTTTGTTTGTTTTTGGTTGTTGTTGGCTTTTTTGTTTGTTTGATTGATTTTTTTTTTTTTTTGAGACAGGGTTTGTAGACCAGACTGGTCTCGAACTCACAGAGATCCATCTGCCTCTGCCTCCTGAGTACTGAGATAAAAGGCATGCACCGCAACCACCCAGTTGGCCACAGGGTTTTAAATTTAACCCACCTGTCAGTGCTTTTGGACTGGGAGTGCTACCTGAGCATCTCGTTATTCCTAAGTCCATTGTTGCAGTTGAGATGTTGAATGTTTCTCAAAAGTCCCCATTTAAGGGTGTAGGCCCTCAGGCAGGGCTACTGGGAGAGGGAATATATCTTTAGTTTGAGATGTGCTCTTGAAGGGTCTTAGGGGACCCTAGTCCCTCCCTTTTCCTTCCTTTCCCCCTCTTTGTCATGAAGTGTCTAATCATGCTTCACTATATAGTTCCACCATTAAGTGCTGCGTAGAGTGAAGGGGCCAACCAGCCTGAAATTGGAACCGAAAGTCAATCTCCTCTCTCTGCAAGCATATTGCCTCAGGTATTCCTGTGCTGCCTGGAAACCTGACTAAAACAACTTAGCCTCCATTACATTCTCCCCTATACACGCTCTGTTGCTCTTCCTTCCCTCCTGCTCTCTCTGTAAGATTTGGAAACATAGTTTCCCAGCTCTGACAGCTGTAGTGTAGTGAAGGCACTGGCAGTGTTGAGCAGAAGAACCCTACCTGAAACTTAGATGACCCAGTGGCATAGGCTCTACAGTTCAGATGGCCCAATGAACACCCGTCCCACGACTCTTCCCGACCTTGCTTAGGCTTGCAGCCTTGATTCCACACTACATGATACACCCAGCCTATGTCCTTTCCCTGTTGAAGTCCTAGTCACCTTCAACATAATAGACAGCCTACTTTGACTCGGGGCTTCCGGGCCACTTTCAACTTCCTGATTTGGGGTGTTTGATTCTTTTCTCTGATTGTGGCACTGGCCCACACAGTATCTCATTCCCTTCTGGAAATGCAGTTCCAAACGTGCAGGTTCATCATTTTTGGCTTATTGTTATATCCCAGTCCCTATAGTGTGTGCCAGGTAGCCAAAAGGCACTGTACATAGACGCGAAATGGATGAATGGGTGAAGGGCAGGTTCCCATCTCCTCTCCCTCCCATCCCCAAGGAGCCCAGGAAGAAGCACTCTCTGTTCAGTTTCTTAAATAAACTGTTTATTGAGGAGGAACAATTAAAGAAAGCGATGATGATGTGGATTACAAAAACAAATAAGCACAAGCCTCTCCAGATTCAAAGACAAGATGGTTCCGCTGCCACAGGTACTGCTAGCCCCAGGCTGAATGTGTGAGTAGGCTAGTGTGCATGTGTGAACAGACACACACACATACATACACACTGTTTACAAAGGGGCGTGGACTGCGATGAATGACCATGTGTGTGTCTGCAGCTTGGCCCCTTCCCTGCCCCCCAAACCAAAACCGGCTGTGTGAGACACACAGCAGCAAAATTGAGGCCTTCATCCTTCTCTCCCTCCCCCCTCAGCTCTCACTCTGAGACCCCCATCTCCTCCGGTGGCAGTCTGACCACCCTCAGTCACAAAGAGTCTCAGTGATCCTGTCAAGACATCTGGGGGAGGAGGAAAGAAACAGTCAGGGCACCAGATGTGTGGCTGGGATCCCGCTGATTGGCTCCCAGGCCCATGCCCTCCCATGTGACACTGCCCAGCAAAAAGCCACCCAAAGAGACTGCCCCTGTGGATGCTGAGAGCAGCCATTGCGTCTCTGGGTCCACACCCCAGAGCCCCAAGAGGTCTAAGCCCTAGCCAGAGAGGCAGGAAGGAGCCTACACCAGTGACTGCTGGGAGGCCTTTTCCCACAGGCGGCCATTTGGGGGCTGGAAAAGAACTAAGAGCACGTCCCTGTGGCAAAGTGTGATACAATCTTCCTGAAGAGGCAACATTGAGAAGGGGCGGAGCCCAGGCAGCAGACTGGAATGATCTCTTGGATAAGAAGCCCCACTCCCACTCCGAAAGAATAAAGTAACAGTCGCAGAAGAGGCAGGTTCTGGAGCATGGTCCTGCCCTAAAGCAGTGTGGGTCAGGCCCGTATCCACGGACCCACCCATAGGCACATGTAATAGAATCGGGGTAGGGCAGGGCTCTGCTGTGTTCCTGCCTTGCTCCGCCACCCCCCGCTTGAGGTATTGAGCTCCCCCTCCCCCTCCCCTTCCCCCTCCCCGATTATGGCTGCATCCCATCCCTGCTAATACATGGGTCATAGGTAGGGACCAGCCCGGCAACCCCACACGGCTTTATGTGGGGTCCAACTCAAAGACCCCATCGCTGGTAGGGGTAGTAAAGAAAGAAGGTGGGTCTGAGACAGTGGACTCTGGTCCCCCACTGCCCTGCCCCCCAGAGCGCCTCTCCTCCCGGCGCAGGCTTCGCTCAAAGTCTAGCAGCTGCCCCATGAAGTTGAAGTTGGGTGAGATGTTAGACTTCTTCCGCTTGACCAAGTCGTAGGCATCATTGAGTGAGAGGTGGAGCTTCTGCATGAGGTAGGCCACAGTGACGGTGACAGAGCGGCTGACCCCTGCCAGGCAGTGAACGAGCACCCCGCAGTTCTGGGACAAGGCCTCATCTAGGGCAGGACAGAAACATCCCCCCCCAAGGCAAGGATCAGCATGAGTGAGGCCAAAGCCCAGTGAATTTGGGGGGGGGCGCCATCACAGTCTCATATCTGGGAGGTTTCACAGTCAGCTGACCTGAACTCTACCCCCACCTCCCCAAGTGCTAAGATGGACAAGAATTTTCTTATAGGAGAGGGTAAGGAGCAGGAGAGATCAGGAGTCAGTTTACTGGGTGGGGGCAGGTGCAGGGAGAAGACAGGGAGGATAGGAGAACTCACCAATGAATGCAATGGCCTCTGGAAAGAACTGGGACAGATTCTGGCTCCAGTGGTCAGAGATGGGGATCTGCTTGTAGTGGAAGTCACCATTCTTTTCAAAGAGGTTAGGTAGATTGGGGGTGACATTGAGAATATAGCGGATGCCAAGCTTGGCCAAGCTCTCCAAGTTGGCTGAATCTCGGGCACTGCCTAGGTAGAGATTGGGCAGGATCTGGACCGGGAAGGGTGGTAGCAGCCCAACTGGAGGGGACGTGGTACTCTCCGAATCTAGGCCACAGCTAATGGACTCCCGGTCAGCCTCAGACTCCGCATCAGAGATATCAGAGCTCAAGCACAGGCCACCTAGCCCCACCACAGGCACTGGGCTAGGCATTGAGGCCAGGCTTGATCCAGCACAACCACTGAAGCTGGTTTCACAAAGGTGAGGACACTCGGCCTGGAATTTGCTGAAACCACCTGTTAGGAAAGAAAGGAGGGGGGAGGGCTTGCTATTATAGCCACCTGGGCAGCCAGGAATTCCTTGCTGGGGCTAGGGAGCTGACCCTAACAGCCCAGGTAGGTTGTAATATTGCCAGAGGGAACACACAGCCAGCGGTTTTATCTATACTGGAGCGCCACGTGTGGTGTTTGCTATGGACACCCATCGATCCTCACTCGGCACTTGTGGCTGTCTTTCTGGATGGTAAGCGCCATTGCAGCTGCTTGCTCTAGGGGACATCCTGTGAACTATGTTGTTTACGGTCAATTCCCCCTATTTTCTAGGCTTACAAATGGGCTTGGAGGGATGAAGGACTTGCCCAAGGTCATACTCAGGTTTGCCTTCCCAAAAGCTGTCTGGTTGGTTACTGGGAGGGAGTCTTAACCTACATTTTAGACAAAATAAGATGGAGTTTGCCCAAGGATAAAGCAATTATGAAATCCCCTTGGAAGGCAGGCCGTTCTCCTGATCTGAGGCCACCAGAGGCAGCCTGTGCCCTCTCTCAGCCCACGGGCCCCTCACCTACCCTGTAGGTAGTAGGACAGGTAGCCTTCTTCCCGCAGCTTCTGGAGCAGAATGCCCATCACCGAGTCAGCTTCCCACTCTGGGGCTTCGGCCTCTGCCTCTTCCTCTGCCTCTTCCTCTGCCTCTCCACGCGGGGATCGGCCGCTATCCTGGTCGTACAGGAGCACAGGGGCGGGTGGCGGAGGCTGCAGCGGTGGCCCAGGCAAGAGCGAGCGTACCGACAGACTCCCTCTCCGCAGGCGGCGCAGCATCAGGGCAGGCAAGGCCACGCTCAGCGCCCCGCAGATGCGCGCTGACTCGTACAGCTCCCGGCTGCGGCAGTCCAGCAGTAGAAGCTGTGGGCGCGGAGACGACAGCTCCTGCCGCAGCCATAGGCACGAACGGCCCAGACTCTCCATGGGTGCGCAGCGCTCTGCACTGCTGCACGTCGGGCAGCGTGTGCTGTGGAGAGAGGTAAGGCGCAGAGTGAGGGCAGGTTTGTCTCTAGTCCCACAGCGTGGACCAGGTTACTGAGACGGGAAGTCAGCCCCTGCCCTGAGGGCAGGCGCCCAGTGTCCCTGCAGGGACATTCCTCCACCGCCTGATTCTCTCCTTGCGCTCCACCCACAGTGAGAAAACCAAGGAAGGCGCCCCAGGAAAAACACCCGAGGCCACCGCCACTGGGGTGCTGCTCCCTGCCCCACTTAGATGGAGTTTTGTGAGACATACCCCAGAAGGAGAAAGTCTAGCGGCCTCTTGAATGAAAGCATTTTGGGGGGTTCTAGAAGAACTAAAGCCAGTCCCCTCCACACCCCTTTTCTGACTTTCTCATTTGCCCCGATCTCCATCACTCCCCAAGTTAGTCTTTGGATGTGTGGAGAAACTGGGTTCAAGACCTGGATCTTCTCTAAGGCCAGGAAGAACTCGAGAACAAGAGGGTCGCCGAGGTGATGGGCCTAAGCGAGTCCTGTAAGAGCTGACTCGGCCCCACTCCTCCCCACCCCAGGAGAGAACAAAAGGAGAGACCTGGAGCGAGATCCAGAGGCAGGCGGCCGCGCGTGGACGTCCTGGCTACAGCTAGTGCCAGGGCAGGGCGCAGGTATCGTCCCTGGAGAGGGAGTCCCCAGGTTCGGCGATCGGAGAGGGCGGAGTGGCGGAGCAGGCTCGCACGTGGAAGCCAAGCCTCGCGCCACTCGTGCGCTGGCCGCTTCCTGGCAGCCGGATCCAGCTTCCACCTTGGAAGCCGCAGCCTTCGGACCGACTTAGTAGCTGCTCAGAGGGGCGGGGCGGGGCGGTGGGGCGGTGGGGCGGGCATAGGGACCAGGCCAGCCAACCAGTGAGAGCGAACAGCCGGGTGGGAGTTGCGAGCAGCAAGCTGAGCTAGGGCTTCCACCCAGGCGGGACAGGGTCGGGGCAGAGGCCAAGGGCAGGTCGGGGGCCCAGCAGGGGACCAGTTGCAGTTGCCCCTGCTCGGCGCCAGTCTGGTCCCTGGAGTCAGGAAGAGGGGTGGGGACAAAAGCCCAGAGCCCCAGAACCAGAAACTGCCTCAAACAACTCGCTTAATAACCCTTAACTATCAGCCCTTGCCTGGAACTAGAATGCCCCCATCTGTATAATGGGCTAACCAGAGCCATCCAATTTGGGCAACTGTGAAATGCCACTGAAATATTGAAGACACAAGGCAGCTCCTGGATTTCCTATTCTCATCTGGTCTTCGTTTGTGCAGGCCAGGCTAAAGGTACCCAGGAATTCTGAGCCCCAACTCTAAACTCAAACACTGTGCTCTTACCACATGGTGAATCCTAAAAGTCATCCCTGGCTCTTCCTCGTGGCCTTCTTCCCATAAACCCCTGGATGGATCCACATGGAGGGACATCATTTTTACTGCAATATGTCACCATCCTCATGCTCCCTCTGTCTTTTCCTCTGGCCATGGCTACAGAAGTCACTGTCCCAGTTTCTGAAACTTCAGCTTCTTCTCCACCCTGCCCCAAGCCAGAGCGCCATTCAGTCCACAAAAACTGGAGGCCTCCAACCCAGCCCTCAACCAGGTGATGAATAGGAAAGACACACGTGGGCCTTCTCCTTGCCCAGGTCTTCCAGTCCAGCAGGGCACACTAAGCAAAGATACTGAAGGAGATATCAGGGTGATAAGTGCTGACAATGAAAAGAGAGGTAGGGGGAGGCTCCTAAAAAAGCCCCATCTGGCCATGTGCTCTTTCTCTGCTAAAAGCCCAAGAAAAGTAAATAACAGTGTTAAAGGAAAACACACAACAGATAAGATAAAGCTCGCACAAAATAATCAAAGGGTTAAGACCCCGTAGATAAATGGGTAAGGAACTCAAGGACTGCATACTCTGCCTGAAGGAAGGAATGTGATGGGGTAAGAATATTTGGGGAAAGGTTGAAGCTCAGGCATGGAAGGAAAGCCAATTCAAAAAAAAAAAAAAAAAAAAAAAAAAAAAAGAAAGAAAGAAAGAAAGAAAGGCTTCCCAGTTACTACATTAGCAGAACGTTCTCAAAATGAAAACACCCAGTGTTAGCAAGGTTGCTGTGAAACATGTGTGCTGTTCTCATCCTTGGAGGGATTTTGTTTTGGTAGCACCCTTTTGGAAATGAGTATAACAATATACAACAACAACCAGACAGGAGTAGGGTGGGCAGACCACAACTTTAATCCTAGCACTCCAGAGTTGCTAGGTCAGCCTGGTCTATAGAGTGAGTTCCAGGATGGCCAGTATTGTTACACAGAGAAACCCTACGTGGAAAAACCAGGAAAAGAACCAGACAATAAAGCTGGACAGGGGTGGTGGTGCACACCTCCAATCCTCTAATCCCACCACTCAGGGGACAGAGATGCTTAGATCTCTATGAGTCTGAGGCCAGCCTGGTCTACAGGGCTAGTTCCAGGATAGCCAGGACTACACAGAGAAACCCTGTCTCAAAGTGCCTCTCCAAAAACAAAACAACAAAAACAATGAAAACCCCAAACAACACAAAAGAATCAGACAAGAAAAACCCACACTTATAAGTTACTTCTGGGGCTCCTGCTTAAGTAACCACAGACCAAAAAAAAAAAAAAAAAAAAAAAAAACTGGTTCACACAGAATGGGTACTGCAAAGAATTTTTCTCAGGAGTGAAAAATGCAAAGTCCCCTAAAAGAGCAACATTTAGCACCACTGCAGACCACCTATACCTATTGAAAGGACTCCTCTCATGAGCCAGAGTTAAGATGAGATGCTGTGTGAGGTGATTCTGGGGGAGAAGCCAACCATACAGACTAAGGCTACCTCAGAGGGCCTTCCAGTTTCCCCCTTTCTCCGCCACGGTAGTGGACCACCAGTGAGCTCAGACTACTGACTCCCTACCTCACCATGTCCCTGCTTCTAAGATGAGTTCCAATGTTGATATTCAAGGTTTCTGGGCAAATGGAGCTCTGTGGACACAGTCCAACTCAGGTCTCCTCTGCTGGCTATTCATGTTCCAGTCCCTATACTCTGTTGGTCTCGTGGGCAAGCCTGCAGACTTCTCTATCTCCCCGTGGCCTTAAAGAGGCAGCGCTCTGGCATGGCTCATTTCTTTGTTTCTCAGTGTTCTACCTTCTTCTCCCTTACGTATTAGTTCCAGTGTCAGAAGTGGATTATCTGGTGCGGTCTGGCCATGCAAACTGAGACTAGGTCCTTTTCTCCGTATCCCAACTGTACCTGTAGGTAAGACCTTGGGATAGGGCAGAGGTCAAAGATAACACAGAAGTTCTGCAATGTATCACACTTGTAAGTAGTGCTGGCTGAGGCTTGACTATGTTGTGGATGGGGTAGTGGTGGCACGGGGCCATGAATGCAGATCCACCCTGGAGGCTCCCTGTGCTCGGAAGGAGGATCTTCAACCAGAGATAAATACTGGTACTCTCAGAAGTCTCGGTGTGCTCTTTGGAGTAGGCTTTCTAAAAGACATGATAGGAACTGTCCTGGGGATGAGCATGGGAGGGAGGCACTCTGAAATGGTGAAGGAAAGGGAATCCTGGGCGTTAACAATCAGCCTTTCTCCTGCCCACACCTCGGCAGTACTTTCCCTACACCTTGTTACAGGCCCCTGCTGGCAAGGCCCCAACCCTAGCAAGAGATAGGGAGGGGGTGAGGGACACTCTCCAAAGACAGGCTCACTGCGCTAGGCCGGCGTCACCCGCAGTGCCAGCAAACAGGACAAATGGGAACCTGTTGCCACCCCCTGCACTGCAGGATTCGGTCAGCCAGCCCCATCCCCACTCAGGTCCCCAGAAGCGTCTGCTTGCGCGCTGGCCCCGCCCCTCGCCGGCTTCTGGAGACTGCCGGGGTTTGAGGAGGCTGCGGCACTGGGGGCTGAGCCCACTGTCTCCCCCGCTGGGCACCCCAGAGCCTCCGACCGGCCAGGCCAACGCCCCGCACAGGCCCAGCGCGTGCCGCGGGCTCTCTCAGGTTCCCGAGATGCCCCAGAGCTGCAATGCCTCCAGCAAAAAGCACGATTCCCACCTGGCCTAGTGGGAGGATTTCAGCTGTCACGGCTGGCCCGGGTCACATGGCCAGAAGCGCAACTCCCAGAGGCAGAGATTCTACCAACTCCAGTGTCATTCCCACAAAACCCACTTTCCACTGGGAATGGCTTTGTGCCTTTCCTGAGTCGGACCAGGAGCTCCTCCAAGGCATGATCGGGTGTATGCCTGATCCCAAGCTGGCCCCAGCCCTCCACTGAGGGCCTGGCACACTCACCGGGGCGCTCGCCGAAGTGCTCGTTAACAAAGAAAGAAGGCATGAATGAATGAAACCAATTGTTGCCTTGGGGAGCCCAGGAGGGTGCTGCTCCTGCTTTTTCCTTCTATGGAGCACACACTCCTCCTAGACACGCACAAGGACACGTGCACACACAGCTCTCCTCACAGCATACCCTCAGTCTGGGACACAAACAGTGCATGCAGACTTAAGCCCTTAAGGAAGCAATTCACTAGGCACAGGACTCGTTTGGTCCCAGCTAGGCCTCCTCCATTTCAGTGCCTGCCTCTCCTATCCATCCACCCCCCCACACCCCTCCCACAGCCCCTTGCCTTCATATCTAAGTACCATACCTTGGGCCTCAATTGCCTTCTATATCTTTTAGCGAAGAAGAGATCATGTCACTCCCTGGGGAATCTCAAGGTCTTTTAGGGAGGCACCTGGAGGGGAGTCCCAAGCTAGTGAGCCTAGCAGCGACGCCACCAAATGGTGCAGCCTTTAGAGCCTGTGTGCCAGGTGTTGGGGGTGGTGGTGGGAGGGACTCAAAGACGCGCAGCGCGGGGGGGGGGTGTTCTGGGCTATTTGCGATAGGGGCGGGGCAGGATGCTGAAGATTTAGCAATCTAGCAGGTGTTCTTATATGTTAGGGTGTTGGGGATGCTGGAGGTGTCTGCCTGAGGAATGGGGAGTATTGGCTGTGGTGTGCATTTGTGTTACAGTGGATAGATAACAGTGTCTGGACTGTGGGGACATGGGTGGGTGTCTGCAGTGGGCATATGGGAAGTTTGTGATGGTAGAGACATTTTCTCTTTCTCTCTCTGTATGTGTGAGTGAGTGAGAGATAGATAGATAGAGAGACGGAGATAGATAGATAGATAGATAGATAGATAGATAGATAGATAGATAGAGCTATGTTAGAGCAGACATCGCAGGATGTGTTGGCACTGTGTCAGCACCTGGGTGTACTGGGGCGTGGCAGAGTCTGGGATGGTGTTGGTATGAGTTGGGGATAGTGGCAAGTACTTAGACAGGGGACAGCTGGTATGTACAGTATAGGAACCTGTGTGCTTAAGACTGTGCAGCTGGTGGAAATGGCAGGGGACATGGAAGGTGCACGGGTAGGGTGGCAAGCTTGCGTAGTGATAGAACCTAATGGCTCTTGTAAATTCTTGTTCCCCAGCATCCTTGGGGCCTTTGGGATGTGTATGGTAGGACTTGGGGGTTTAAGGTGCAGGAACGCACTTGGGGATAGGGAGCCAGGAGGGATGAGGGTGGGGTGGGGCTCCGCGTGCTCTGCTCACCTCTGCTAGCCTCAGCTTGATCCCTTGCTCTGTGCGTCCACAGCCAGTAAGTTTCCGTAGCTAGGGCAGTGAGAAGCACCGCTGCCACCAGCAGACGCCACCAGAGCTCCGGGTGGGCGGGGTGGGCGGTGGCCTTTCGGGGAGCTTAGGGGCCGCAGTCGCTACTGATGCTGCAGAGGGAAACTCCAAATCCCGCCTCCTCCATCACCGCC